GTAGTATGATCCTAAGCTCTCTCTGCCTGTGTCACCTGCAGGGCGCACTCTGTTATGTGTTCCCAGATCATACCCAGTAGATCTGGCTATGCATAATGCAGTTCCATGGATAAAGCACTCACCTCAGATATGGGAAACCTGGATTAAATTCCTGTTTTTAGTCCTTTAAACCCTTTAACTCTTAATGGACAGAGCTACTCATTACCCCCTGAAGACTCACCAGCAACCCCTGGTCCTGCTAACTGAACCTCTCCCTGGACCTGCCAATCTCCTCCCATTAGCCTGACCCCACAAGCCCCTTGCCTCACCCCAAACTACTTACACCAGGTTCCAAGAGTGGGCTTTAGTTTCATATTGTTATAAAATGTAAAATAAATTTTAGCTTTTTCTTCTCAGTATTGGTGCGTTGCTGATTTATCTAAATAGGCACCAACCACTCCCCCACCCACTCAAAATCTTGCCAGTGTCATGACTTCAGTATATCAGTTACACATTTGGAAAACTGTCACCTGTGAATAATTCTGTAGCAATGTAGTTTCATGCATAGTTTTTAAATGTACTGAAAATTAAAACTATTTATTGCTTTTTTCACAGGATCAGCAATGCTATGCTGTTTACTGAATGTTATACACATTTTTCAATAGTTCATTTCTAGGAAAGTGTTGAAATTTTCATCTTAAGAAATGGTAAAGAACATAAAAAATAAACTTGTGCGCAAAATCCACAACCAAACAAAACCCCAAAGGGGCCTATACACATGCTTGGGCGGGGGGAGAGGGGAGAATGGGAAGGGCTGTTTTAATTAGACTGGTTCTTAGAAAACAGGTCCAATTAAAATGCCTCAGCATCACATATATTAAGCCACCAATTTAATAAGCTTTAGTGAAGGCACCCAGTGGCCATTTTTAAACCTGCAGGGGCTTATACACATGGTGCTACATCAATGCTAAAGCATTCTATTAGAACGTGTCAGAGCATGTGTATAGGCACCCCTAAACTTCAAAAGAACTCAAGTATCTGATTTTGATATTTCTCCTATCGGCTCTGCAGAATATCAATAAAATATACCCTAGTATTATTTTTAGCTCCTTATAGTATATAACTCTTATTAATATTTATAAAATGGATTAGTTTTCTTTTTAATAAAAATGAAAACCTGGTAGTATGCCATTTTGTAGGATCAGCCAAACTTGCAGTTGATGCTGAAGAAACTGAAGTCTAATAAAACATTACATTTGTCTCTCTCCATATTTTTGGTTGAAATTTGAATTAAATTAAAAATATATTTCATATCCACCAATATACAGATTGTTGTAGTAAATTTCCTTTGTATGGCAAAATACATTTTATTTTTTGGCACGAAACATACATGTGACATTTTTTAACCCAAAGTCCGAAGTTGAATATGTCAGGATAAGGCATGTTCATATGCAGCTCTCTTAGGTAAAGATATTTTTAACACACGTGCGTGCGCACGCACACACACACACACACACACACCTATCTATCTATCTATCTATCTAACGGGTACATATATTGTTGTATAAGGGATACATATTGCTTTCTTAAATTCTGGCTTCACTATATGGGGTACCCTTTGATGAGGCCCAGAATTATCAAAGTGTCTTTGGAACTGTCAGTGACAGGCAAGATCATAATTGGGAAATTTGTCTTTCTTCTCCACTTACTGTTCTTCCCCTTTTCTTCCACGTTTTTCTTTGGGCTCTTGTACACATGCAGGGAGGCTGCTCCAACATGCTGTCAATCCAGCATGTAGGAGCAGACTCATTTAATTGAGTCTGCTGGACATGGAAATTAACAGACTCCAGAAGCCTCCAGTGTCATGTGTATCAGCGTCACTGCACTGAAAAATGGCAGTGGGGCAATTTGAACTAAAACTCATCAAACAAGCTTTAGTTCAAAGCATCCCACCCCCATTTTTTCACTGTGGGGATGCTGATACGTAGGACGCTTGGGCACTTCTAATTAGTGTGGCTCACTAATTAAGGCACCCCCCCACTTCCTGGAACACATCTATAAATGTCCTTTGTGCTCATAGCACACCATATTTGTAGCCATGACTCTTTGGTTAGCCCTGCCTGCATCTATTGCAGTTCTTCATGTTTGGTCTGGTGATTGATTCCTGGTGGTGCATGTGGTACATGAGGAGAGGAGAGAGGACTGATATACTTTTTTATGTTTCAATTATACAGTTCATTGTATGGGCTGATCTCCCATTTTCAATCCTACCAACCTTGCTTGATCTCTTGAGATCCCAGAGTAAAGCTGATCACAATTTCAGTGTCTGGAAATAATGTGTTTTCCTTCATAACAAAATCAACAAACTGCCAGTGGATTAATGCATCACAAGCATCTAGAAATTTACAGTTTCAGTCATGAGGGCTGCTGCTGCAGGGGAGGGAAGTGTCTGACTGAGGTCACTTCAACCCAGTGGGTTGTCTGGACTTTGATCTAGATCTGTGAGAAGCGGCAAGTATTTGCTTTGGATTCGGATTCGGCCAATTCATAGGACAGTGATTCAATTCAGAGATTCAAATCATGGTCCCAATTTAATTCAGCTGAATCAGGTCTAAAAGATTTGGCACCACTTCCCAGCAGGTGCAGGGGGGCATGTTACTTGGGGAGTGGGGGAGGGGGTGTGGGATGCAGGTGCAGCAGTGTTCAGAGTGGGGGCTCTTCCCTGCTGCCACTTGCCTAGTCAGGGTGGGGGGAGGAGGGATGGGATGCAAGCACAATTTGCTCCGGGCGGAAGGGGGCAAGCATGAGCAGGACACAGCTCCTGCTTCCAGTGCTGACATGCTTGTGTACCACACCCCCCTGTGCCAGCTGGGGAAGCAGCAGCAGGCAGAGATCCCACTTGCAGCACTGATGCCCCCTCTCCAAGTAACCTGCCCCCCCCTGCAATGGCTGGGCAGCTTGTCCCAGCCCCAGCTCCAATCCTTCCCTCCCCCACACCCCTTCCATCCCCTCCCCTCCCCTAACCCCAACAGACTTACCAGCTGGAGGCAGCTGTGTCAGCTGCCTGTTTAGTCTTTGACCAAATCGCTGAATCTTTCATGCATCAATTCAGATGCTTCAAATTGATTCAAAGCTTTTAATTGGTCTCCTGATTCAATTCAGATTCGGAAATTCAGTCCCTCAATCGGGCCGAATCTCCGCCAAATTGAATTGGCTACCAAAGCTCCATACAGCTCTACTTTGATCTAATCACTGTGAAGTAGTGGGTTGTTTCTAGTTTTGCGCAACCTGTAGCTGTTCTAATCTTACCTCTCCTTTCTTTAGCATGGAGGAAAGGAACAGATTTGAAGTATAGAGTCTGTCAGAGTTCTTTGGTAGGCTAGAAAGCATACAATGTACAAACCCAGAGTATTATTTTCCACTGAATATTTTGGTGCTTATTGACAGCCACAATAGAGTAACTCTGTGCATTGCCTGGAATGACTGCTGCAGTTAGGTGATGGTTTAAATAAATCCTCCAGGTATAGAAACCTCTCTGAATCTGTTAGACATAAACATATCCTTAAATATTTTGTAGAATCAGGCCTTTAGAGATTAGAGTGGCACAAAATCCAGGCAATAGCTTTAACATCTGGGGGCAATAAATCTACAGTCCTAGTCAACAAGAAACAATTACCTAATATAATAGCTAATGTCTAAGGATTTTTAAGTAGCTAGTGATAAAATATACATGTTGGGGCAATGATACTTATAGATTATGCTTAGGATGTCATATTAATATGGAAATAGGAAATACCCATTAAAACAACCATTTGCAGGAAAGTGATAATGGGAGATTAGGGGGTCTAGAAAGAAGCCAGTTTTATAGTTACTGATTTTTATCTTATCTGAACATAACTGTTTATCAGCTAAATTGAGCAGTTTACTTCTATTGTGCTTGAATAATGATTAGGAATAAAATAAATGTATTTCATAAATATATGCACATACATACACATATATACACACAGGCAATGGAGTTGCATCTCCCACTTGTCCAACTCTTCAATAGAGTTATGATAGAGTTGGGCAAGATAAGTCCAAGTATCCCTGCTTATGAGCTCTGGGAACCTTACTAGTTTTGCAGGCAAAAGGATGGGCCACCAAACATCCCTGGGTAACTTTCCTGTGGAAGAGCTCCTTCCCCTGGCAGTTGCCAAAGAACTAACCCCTGCCAGGCCCAGCCTTGGGCTTATATATGCCAGGACTCTGCATCCTCTGGGTCAGCTGACCATATGTAAGTGCCAGCTAATTACTTAAATAGCCTGTTCCCCAGTCAACCCACAGCTGTGGTGTACTGCCTGCCCTACAAAACCCCTGGCTAGGCTGCTTTTGCCCCTAAAGGAGCAGGCACATCTTAGTGCCCTGTGACAGTGACCCACAAAGAGAGATGATGATGGAGGTTTTTCATTCTGCTTTATGGAAGCTAAGGATATGTAATAGGATAAATCAAACATTTTGAATTCTTAGAGTATTTCTCGAGAAAAAAATCTATGTCTAATGCATCATTAAGGGAACTTAGCTAAATCATACTAACACCTGTAGCAACTGGCAAATATTATATGGCTAATATGTCTGCAACATATTTTTCAATCTGACTAGACCCACTCATAGAGGAGTTGATTGAGGGTGACATTTGGTAGGAGAGATATTTAGACAAAGTTCATATTCTCTCTAACAAAATATTTTTAAGTGTCCTGTCCCTAACCATTCCAGTATGTTTTCTTTATTTGCAGAAGTTTTCTTTAATTGCATTACCTATAAAAATTCTAGGGCAGAAGAAGCAAGTTTGGTGGTGTTGCGCATTTTGTATCCTAGTTCTTAATTACTAAAATTTACAGGCCTCCTTTATATTAAGATTGTTTTAATCTGCCAAAATTACCTATAGATTTTTTTCCTATTGGTGCAATCATATTTTCATTTACTCTTAAGTCCTTTCACACTGCAAAGGATTGTATTTGTAGGTAGCTGTAGATGCTCACACAGTATAGTTTCTGGAAAATGTATAAGGTTTGAATATATTAATCTCACTGGAAAACATTTTAAGTAAATAAATAAATGTATGTCACATTTGGGACTCTTCAAATCATGCTGTACACCTGCAGACTGCACAGATGAACTCATTTGGTACTCAAAGGTCATATTTTATTCAATACACTTTACTGCGCACCAGGTACAATGTCAACATGTTTCACTACTTTATTCAAATAGGGTTTCACAGAATATCACAGTAAACTATAACTTGGTCAGAAAATACCTGGGGTAAAAATGTAGAAAAGGCTTAGGTTTTCTAACCCATCTCAACATTGACAAGGTAGTTCTAGTTTTAATGGAGCTATCTGGATATCCATATTGCAAAACCATGGGATGCCTCGTTTTAATAGCAGAACCTATTGTTTCAATGCAACATTCTTAAAATGTGATACATTTTCCTGAATGACAGATTTTTAAAGGCAGTAATGTAAATGTCAATTCTTTTGGATTGGTTGGTACCAATCCCATATTTCCTAATAATACTAAAATTGAAACAGAAAATACTTTTTATTCTTGGTTTTAATATCTCTCTTTCATAGTGTAGCTCAGAATTTCACCATAGCATGGTCTATAAACAGTATGAGATGATACAGAAAAATATTAATAGACTACTTCTGTCAAAAGCTCCTTTTTCTATAATGTATTATGTGTATTAGGCTAAGTTTTAGCGTGGAAAAAGGAAACAAGGATTCTGTAAAAGACAAGATCATTCTGACTTACATAAACAACAATGCTGAGAATTGTGGCCACATACATTTTTTTTTCCTGCGAGCGTCACTGCTTTTCCCAGGACAAACCACGTGAATATAGATTATCAGGATTTATCTCCCAGAGCAGAAATGGCTGCTCCAGGAGGAAAATAACCTGAGTGCAATCACAGTTAAATCACTACCAGGAGAGTTTTCCCTAGAAAAGCAAATATCTGTCCATCTTACCCTTCTTAAAGAAGCCACAGCACAGTCCTTCAGCATTGCAGGATGCTTTGTTCCTCACCCCAGCCCCACTCAGAGATAAGTGTGTTGCTCAGGCTGGACTCTCAGCTGAACAGGGAGCAAAATATGCTCATTTCACTGTTCCACCCTATGCTTCAGGGAGACACAACCTGACTCTGAGCAATGTAGGTCAGCCAATCGGGAATGCCCTGTACACTGCTGCCATCTGTCAGCAGGCAGACTGAGGGAACCTGAAGAGCATACCAAGATATATGCACAGGGTCCCCATGGCTGTACAGAATCAGCACTGCAAGATGTCTGCTCTCCAAGGGCTCAGAACTCAAATGTATGTTCAGGAATCTCAAAGCAATTTGTTCTAGGGGTGCACCAATAAAGATTTTCTTGGCCTATACCAATAGTCAATTATTAAACAGCCATATATGCTGATACCAATCTGATAACTGCTTTACAGGAATGCAGCCAGGCAGTGCAGAGAGTAGCTCCTTACAGGCGGGTAGAGGAGCATAGATGTGCAGATCGAGGCCCCCATGGTGCAAAAGGGAGTGGGGCAGGTACAGGGGCTGGGAATGCTGCCCAACCAGGGCAATGAATGGGACCTGGGGCTGGGCTGGGGTGGGGAGCAGGACAGAGCTGCAGGCAGCTCATCCAGGGAATCAGTGTCCTAGGGTGCTTAAAAATGGTGGCAGGGGTGCTTGAACTAAAGCTTGTCAAATTAACTTTAGTTCAGGTGCCACCATAATCAATTTAGAACATGGGGATGCGTTTAACTAAAGCAGAGTTGAGTGGGATTAGGGTGGATGTGGGCTTCCCTCTGTGGGCTTGGGGCACTCTGGCCTGCTGCCATTCACTGCCCTGTCTGGACAACACCCCCAGCCCCAGTCCCTACTCTTGCCCTGCTCCCTCCCTCACTGTGGGGTGGATTTGAACTGGTTTGGCTTTGCTGACTTGGTTGATGCTCTCTCTCACACACAAACACTAAAGTTTTTCCACTGAAATGTCATCAATACAATTAAAAATGCTTATTTATATTAACTGAGAAATTTAAACATGAAGGTTTGACACTGAAAGAGAAATGGTCGTAGAATTGTACCAGATCCTAAGGTAATCTACATTTATATAGCACAATTTGCTAGGTAGAAGAATGGAGAAGCAGTAGCTGCTGCTTCATTTTGTTTTGATTTCCATCCATCATCTCAGTAGTTGATTAATAGGGATAAATGATGCCATTTCATTCATTTGGGTTTTTTGGTCTCATAGTCATATAGCTTTAGACCACACCTCTCTGGCTTTTGCCTATCGTACCAAGACTCTTACATAATCTCCAATCTAAGCATTAGGTAGGCTTGGAAATACCTCACCTTAGTGATCAGATGACCTAAAGTGTATTCTGTCTGGCATGGTTGTATGCAGCAGTTTATTTTGTACCCTATTAACTGAAGAAGGAACTACAGAGAGCCAAGCAAAAATTCCCCCATGGGCTGTGGCTAGTGGCTTCCATCCTCCCATTTGTTTGTATAGTTCCATGTAAAGAGGTTATTTATTTGAGCTTTGTAAGAAAATACAGATGAGGGAATTTCACCTGTGATTATCATCATCATTATTTTCTTGGCCTTTCCTACACTTTCGGATTTCCCTCCATATAGTGCATTTGTGCCAGAGCTATTTATCACATACACCCTCCACTCAAAAATGTTTTGGATTAGTTGCTCTTTAAATTTTGCAAAGTTTGACTTGAAGTGTCAGACATAGTTAAAAATAAATAATGAAACGAGGGAAAATAATAGAGAACTTTAATATTATAAATATTTCTACAAAGTAGGAAAGATAAAACTTAATATATGAAGAATTGAAAGTTACCTGCTCAGAACTGCAGGACTATTGACTGTGGAAAAGAAACCAAGTTAGATGAAGGTTATATTTAATTAAGAGGATCCAGATGGTATTGCCGAGGTGTTATTTTTACACATCACAAACTGTCTAACTAATGACTTAGTTTCACTTGTAACACAATAAACTATGGTCATGTCAAATCATTTCTTATTAGTTGCATCAAAATAAGCAAGACTTGTGTCCAGGAGGGAGATGAATAAATGAATGCTTGAAGTTCTGGACACAATTTGACTGTACAAATGGAAGTAACCATAGTGGACCATTCACCTGTAAAAAGATAGCTAGTGGGTACCTTTTAAGATTTTGAGCAAGCTTCTTTATAGTGAAATGTTCTGGAAGCATTTCTTTCTAAAAACTGTACTCTAACAATATTTAAACAACAACTTTTCAGCAAATGTTGCATAAAATGGTATTGTTAAAAGAAAAAAATAATCAAGTACATTTATGTTTAATACCAGAAAATATACTTCAGGTAAAGTAATACTTTTTTTTTTACTATTTGTTTTGCATTGTATTAAAAAAAATATTCCCCAGTTACAAAATGTCTATTTTCTAAACATAAAAATTGAGATTTTTTTTGTAAGTATCATACCATGATGGCACAATGTTACTGCAATCAAAATATATTTCCCAAAAGGTACATTTTGTTTTTCTATCATAAGGGAACCTGGATTTCAAACTTAAAAAGAAACAGATACCTTAATGTTCCAGAAAAAAATATGCCTTAGCTTAGCTGAACCAGAACATAGGTGAAACTCTATGCGCTGAGTTATGCAGGAGGTCAGACCAGGTTATCAGAACAGTCCCTGGTAGCCTTGAAGTCAGGTAATCTGTGAAATATCCATTCACATCTTGGTCCTGCAAATATTCATGCACAAGCTTATCATTAACCATGTGGATGGCCCAGGTTGATTCAACAGCTTGCTTAATAATAAATATGCATCTTACAGGATGCCAAGAGATGAATGCATCAAGAAACCCTTCTAGGTTTCTTCTTAAAGAAAACAAACTAAACAACTGCTTACAGCTTGTTTAGAAGTCTCCTGAAGCTGAGGAATATTTTTTATTGACTTAAATGGGCCTTGGGTTAGATTTGTTTAATAGATGGGCTTTAAGGTACTTACATATAAGCACCCATAATAGAAAACTACCCCGTCTCCTCCTGAATGTTTTACAGAAGAATATTACATATTATCCTGAATTTCAGTGCTCTGCACAAAACTGCATTATGTCACATACAAATACATATTTTTCAAAGGATTTCATTAAGGCTGAACACTCAACATTTTGTAAAAAGGTATATCTAACACAAGTACTTATGGTTCAAAAAGAAAATATTGAAGTTCAAGGAAAATCCATGAAAATAATCCAGAAGTTAGAAAACATAAATGTGAGGCTAATGGAACTAAACTTATTGTGCTTGTCAGAGAGACAGCTGAAAGGTGATTTTATTACTTTCCATAAGTACTTATATATAGTGAAAAAGTTTCATAATGCAAGGATTTTTAAGCTTTCTGACAAGAGCATAACAAAATCAAGAGGCTTGTAATTGATATTAGGCAAATTAACTCACAATTCCCTAGAAGTAAATCTGATTAAGCACTGGAATGATGTACCTATGTAAGTGTTGGATTTGGTCTTCCTTGGGGTTTTTAAAGTGAGACTGAATATCTTTCTAGATATATACTTCGATCCAGCATTTAGGAGAAATTGTTGTTAGGGAAGCTTGTGAGGGTATTTTTTAGTCTGGGAACTGTAGATTGAATTCCTGAATTTATCCATGATCTTCATGGGTCCTGAGAAAGAGTTACTTGAATTGTCTTCAACATTATCTTAATTCAGAACTTCAGCTATTATTATAATAATTATGATAAAAGCTCATACTTAAAGGCTTGATCTGATCACCTGTTTTTGTCAAGAAGGGATTTTTCCCTTAATACATACATAATTTGATTTCTGAATTTTCTCCATTTTTCTCTGAAGCCTCAAAGATTGCCACAATTAAAAGAAGAACACTAGAAGGGAGAGGTAAATGCACTATGTACAATTTTCTCTGTTAATCAGCTGTTGCATCTTGCTTGCATGCTTATAGTTACACCAATTGCCAGATTTACATCTGATTTGGGGTTGGGAAGGTGTTTTCCTCAAGTCAGATTAGCAGGGACCTTTTCATTTAGTTAGATTTTAAAGCTTTCTTATCTCCTACAAAATAAAGCCTAGTTTGCCCATTGACATAATTGGATTTATGTCACATCCTATGTCATTATATACATAATCTATACCATTAGATATGTAACAGCTGCAAAACTTACCTGGCTGCAAGCTGAGTGGGTGCTCTGTGCTTAAGAGCTCTGCAAAAAAAAAAGGGGGGGGGGCAGCAAAACTTTGCAGAGGGTGCATAAGCCCTACCAGACAGGATGGTATGCATGCAGTGCATGATGCATGCTTCTTATTGGCATATTGAAATCGTGATCAGCACAAGACCTGGGAAGGCTCGAACCAACAAAGTCAGATATCTACAGAGGGAAACCCTATTTGTGGGTGGGTGTGCCAGAAGAGATAGGCAGACCCTGAGAAGGAGTGAGCTACAACAAAGGAGCTGGAATATAAAATAATATAAAATATTCCTTTATGCTGTTTAAAATTATAAAAAATGTACCCCTCCTTAAATTTAATTTAAAGAATAGTTCTTATTATTTTTTCCCCATTTACAATAATTCCTACAACAAGATTGGCAGTGCCACCCACCTACCCACCCCAATAGCTCATGCTGCCATATTTGAAGAACAAAAGCTAATACACAGATTGCTTAACAACCTGTACAAACTGTGCACAAACTGTCCTATAAACTAGATAAAATTAGAGCATTTGTTCACTAGTCCTCAAGACTGTCTGTTTTCTTTTCTCTGACATATGGCTGTCTTCCAGTTCTCTTAATTTTCAGTGCTAGTGGGACATTGTCACTGAAGGTGACATGTGGCATGTGTCACAATTATACCCCTGAGATGCAACAGATGTTCCAATAAAAATCCTTCATATCTTTTCAGTTTATTTTTTCAGAATTCCTGGATGTTATATTTTGAAGCAGATTTAATACATCCAATTCTTATTGATTACGTGGGAATTAGATGCCTGAATACCTTTACTAATCTGCCCCTTGCCCAAACTGAATAAGAACAAAAATAAGAACAAAACAACTGTCTTTTCATGGGTCAGGCTATATAGGTCCATCAAGTCCAGTTTCCTGCCTCATACTGTGGCAGAGAGAGGATGCTGAGGGAGAAAGTGACTAGGAGAGGTTCAGAATATTACACTCCCTGCTCATTTCACATTACAGCTTCCAGCATACAACAATCAATATGCTCAGACTTCATCTGAAACTTACTGTAATATAGGTAAAGAGAACTTATGTACTAAAAAAAATCAGAAATAATATATTCAGAGGAAATTTATTTCTTTATTTAACTAGCAAAGGGCTACACTTTCAAAAGTCATAAAGGCATTCAGTGGGGTCAGATGTTACAAGACTTGGGCTCCTATATGGGCATGCAGATAGGAAATGAATTCTCTTATAAATCCAGTCATTTAGGTACCTGAAAAGAAACAGCTTATTAAACTTTTTTGAAAATTTGGCCCTAACTATGTAATACATTATATTATTATATAGCCATGCTATTTTAGTAAATTGTAATAAATATTGTTATGTTATAAATTATAATATTTATGTTACAGCTGAAAAAAGTAGCATAATTTCAATATTGCCCTGTGAATAGATACTGGATGCCTAGTATCCTGTTAAAAATATTTGTAGATAAAACTCACAACCTCTCAAAAATTCCTTCCCTTTGATATCCAAAAACTAAAAAAAATACATTTGAAATATTTAGGATGACAGTAAATGGTGGCAGTCAGAGAGAACCATCTCTGAATAAAATTCTTCAACTAATTCACCAAGAACTGCTATATGATCACATTTTTTTAAATACAAAAAAGCAAACTATAAACAAGACAAGAAGAAACGGGACCATGAGCACTACTGAAATTGGTCATTAAGAACAGAGAGGGTAGCAAATGTAAATGTAAAAAATTAGCTACCTAGGCAAGGTCGAATCCTGTGTAATGTAGTTAACCAAAAGAAGTTCTCAGTTTGCAGCTGCTGAGCAATGAATGCTCCTGTCAGATTTCTGGCTAGACTCTGTAACCCTTGCCAATGTGCTTTTCCTGCAAGAAAACCTCTAGTTTCTATGGTATGTTGTGTTTAAATGAGAAAATAGTGTTCAGCCTCTGCAAGCATCTCTGTGACAGGACTCACTGAGGTAGAGATTCTATTCTGGTTCTTCATTCAAATTATGATGCTAATTTGTCTATATATTATGTAGGGGTTTTTTATTCAATGAGTCTGGTGCATCTATGCTCAACAGAAAGATTTCCTGTAAGTTTCAAAGGGGTAAAAGCAGAACTGTGTAGAACAGGGGTGACAAACTCATCTGGCACCTTGGACTGGATGAGGATTGCTGGGCCAGTCTGCGGGCCGGACTAGTATTTACCCCTGTGCAGCACCTGTGGCTCTGGGTCCAGCTGTCCTGTTGCATACAGCATGCAGCATGTGCCAGCCCTAGGGCTCACTGTGCACAGGGCGTGTGGGAATGGCATAGGGCCTCATACCAGCCCATTTTGCCACGTGTGATGGCTAGAAAATGGTATTTAGAGGTTTGCTTTTGGGAATTGGCTTTCAGATATGCATTAGAGCAGTGGTCCAGGGGAACAACAAGGGTTAACTGTTTTCAAAAAACCTGTTTGTGACAAAGTTTCCTTCAAGGCCTACTGTGTCTGGAACCAGCAGACACCATGTCTGAGGCCAACAGAGGAGTGGGCATACACAGGCTGGGAAATTAAAGATATACCACACTGTTCCATAACATGAAATAAAGGACTCTGCTGCGGTGGCCAGGTCACAGTGACCCGCTGCAGAACCCTTGGGATTTCTGGTTTTGGTTCTGGTTTTGATCACAAGAAAATGTGAATTTTGGGTTATTTTTTTAAATCCAAAAATTTGGGATAATTTTTTTTATCAGAGAAAACCAGGATCCCTGGTCATGAATCACATGCTGCCTACAGTGCTCTGCTGGACCAGTCCTGTGAGCTGACTCCAGCATGGCCCCAAATCTAGCTTAAAGGGCCAAGCCAGCTGGGTGCCTATGCAGCACATAGGGCTAGGGCCAGTGATCGGGTTGGTCCATTGACTCAGGTCTGAATCATATGTTTCCACAGGACAGATCCTGTTTAATACCCCTGTTATAAAATGTATTGACGGATCATATATGAAAATGATGCAGTAGACCATATAAACCTATCTCCCTATTTATGGTAGGAGATGAATTGGAATTAAGAAGGATTTAAGTGGTACTTAAACCTTGCAATAATGCTCTGACTACTGATAATTTTGAATCATAATGAACAGTTATTATTTTCACAGAGCAAACAGAACAAAATTAAAAATTCCCTCAGAAAAAGAAAATCCAGGCTTGAAAGTATATTTTTAATAGGGTGAAATACCCTGTCTCATTTAAATCAGCAGCTAAACTCTCTCTCACTTCGGTGGGCCTGAGATTTACCCCACAATCTTGTGTGTTTAGTAGTTTATTTAAATTTCTATGATTTTGGTAAATGTTTCCCATTTTTTTGCTTTTAGGTAGTTGAAGTAACTGATACGCTCTGTTAAATGCTTTTATTTTCTTCTCTAGCAAATGTAATCCCTTCTCTGAGTAATGAAATTGATTTTACTTTTTGGGAATGGGAGAAATAGTAGAGATTCAACCACATATAGATAAAATGAACCATTTTGATCAAAGTTTTCAAATCATCCATTTAAGACCCAAGGCAAGTGCTCAACTGGTGTAAACCAATGTAATTCCACTGAAGTAAATCTACATGTACTGATTTACACCAGCTAGGGATTGGTTCCACAAAATCTTGATGACTATCATGCAGAAATACTCCCCTTCCCTAAAAATCCCTCTGAAAGAGTTGCAAATTGCCTTAAGATTAAATCAGGATGAAAAGCTCAAAAGTTATGAGCATATTTTCTTAAACTAGAAGTAGTTCAAATTGTCCATATTCACTTCCCTTTATTTTATTATCCTAAATATTCTAGTTAAGAAGTTTACTAAAAAGAATTTAAAAAATCATGTTTTAAGCAAACATAAAGAATTTCCAAAGCCTTTGTGAACATCTAACACACATCTTAGAAATCTAATTCTAAGACTTGATTGCCTGAATGGGGAACAGAGACTATTTAATCTGGTCCATTCATATAATTAGCAATAGCTCATGATTTTAACATTTCAAATATTGAAAAAGTGAATCTGTTTATGAACAGCTGTGATTCTTGTGAACAAAAACCCCTCACCTACATTTTCAGGGAACAATTTCAAATAAAATAGGTAAAATCATGTCTGGCCGGAGAAAATTCCTAAGTAGCAAATATGTGAAATTAATCACATAAATCATCTGCTAAGAGTTACTAACTCAAGGCAACCTACAAAATGCTCAGAGTGCCTTAGAAATTGATATTTGCCAGGCCAGGATTGGAAAGGAACGAGTTATGTTAATTCATTTTCAGCATTAATAGTTTTATAGGCATGGTGAGCTGTACAAGATGATGAAGTTTAGTTTGTTGAGGAGCCAATGTTACTTTTGCACTTGGGATGCAGGTTTGGGGTCCAGGTGCTAGCAGAAACCCACAGATTTCCCTTCTCAAACAAAGAAGAAACCTAAAGAAATCTAAATACAAAAATCATTTCTAGTTTTGACCATGAGACACATGGCAAGATAATGAGAAGCTGTAATTTTATTACTCATAAAACATAATTAAGAGTAGTTAGTTACTAGCAGGCAACATAATACACAACACTTCACAAAGGGTCAGACTTTCAAGAGGGTTTCAGTCTGACCTCTGCGTGCGTGTCTGTGTGCGTGTGCATGTGTGTGCGTCTGTGCATATGTATGCAAATCACTTTAGTGTGCAGACTTCAGGGCCTCTCACTTCTGTACCCTAATATTGTATTGATAGCCTAAATACTTCTTATACCTAACAATGAAGCCTCTACCAAAATACCTGTGCAAACTATACCCTCAAATAATAGTTGTTAAACTAGATGAATGCACACAGACACTTATTCTTTGCATAAATGAGTGATAGTAGGTGAGGCTTTGAGCTGCACTGGGGAAAAAGATCTTTTGAACCACATACGCTTTCTCTTAATTCTGTTTGGCTGAAAATGGTGAAATGGTCTCTGAGACAATTTAGGCAGCCAAAACCAAGCCCTGCAGAATTACTGTAGAAGTTTCTGCTGTGACTATGTCCCCAACCAAAACCATTCTGTGATAGTTGCCTCATGCCACTGAATTCTGTGGCTTACCTAATAAAACTGTACTGTTCCCTATGTGTTGTTTAACTGTGCTTAAGATAGCAGCTCAAGGATGAATCAGGGATTTTGAAAAGGTGGGTGCAAATGGTGTGGTGCAATATCACATACAACACAACACCTTTTTCACCACTCTCATATTCATCAGGTCTACTATAGGTCACTTTTGGAACTACTGCAGCCTAGCCAGTCATTACCTGTATTTGTGCATAAAGTTATTATGTCCCAAGTGTAGGATGCTGTATTGATCGCTATTGAATTTAATTTGATTTATTTTAGACTATTTCTCTAAGTTACCTCAGTCATTATAAATCCTGTCCCCACTATTCAGAGTATCTGGAACTCCACCTAACTAGGTGCTAGTTGCAAATATGCTAAGCATGAATTCAGTCCCATAAGTTAATTAATTCCTGAAGATATTAAAGAATACCAGACCCAGCATAGAACACTACATTACTATACTTTCAAAATACTACACATTTTTTAAATGTGTTCTCCATAAATAGTAAATACTATGCACCTTGTAAAACCCTATGTTTTAATATATTGAAAGATGAACATTGTTGTGGAGGAAAAAATACATACATATAGATGAGCTCTAAGTCTTCTTAAAGGCACAGGTCTTCCCTGTATTCTGTGCCACTTCTTTCACCAGTACTTGTTCTCTAATTTATTTTCCTTTTAGCTAAACTATTTTATATTTCTACAAGCTCAGAAGTCTCCTACACCAAGATATATACATATATATCCTATCTATACTACCACTGCTGCCTTATCAAAATCTGGCCCACAAGGGGGGGGATGACACCCCTTTAATACACAACAGCATACTATATTCAAATCCTGATAATCACAGCCAACTGAGTTGCCTCATGAGTTCATGAAGAGCAAGTGATCCTTCTGGGACTCTTATCTAAAAACTACAATGAAAATAATAGATTCAGAGCAAATAGTCCCTGAAAGATCTTAATGTCATGGTATTATCACACAGCCTTGTTTGAAATGTATCTATTAGTAGTTCATGAATGAGTGGTATGCCAGCTCAGGAATTTTGAAATCAGGCCTTTTGCATGTGAGTGCTTAACTGTAGGCACTGGAATTACTGGAAAAAGGCCCCCAGTGAATGTATTACTTTTATTCTTATGAGATATTTAATAAGTTTATGAACATAGTTTTAGACCAAGCTTTTATTGCCTCTGTATGTTACCCTGAAAAAAGGGAAAGGGAGCTGAAGCTGACTTATACCATGTTGCCAAAGATTAATACTGAGTTGTAGTCCTCTGCTGTACACTTTTTTTTCTAACACTAACAACAAATCTTACAGCAAATAAGTAAAATCAATAGTCTAACATTAGGAGGAGGAACAAACCTGACGCTGTGTCAGCATGTCTGTAAAATAATAAAAAAATGTTATGTTTGTAAGTGTATGTTGAAAATACAAACTGCAATTAGAGATGACATCTTGGTGTAGGAGAATTCTGGGCTTGAAGAAATATAAAATAGTTTAGCTGAAGGGAAGGGAAATTAGAGAACATATTGGGGAAAAAAGCTCACAGAATACAGGGGAGAGGGACTGAAGATCATAAAAAATGAGTGGAAATGGAAACAATATATATGTATAAGAAAAGGAACAAACATTAACTAGAATAGCAGCTACACAGGAGGTCAAGAGGATATAAGTGCAAACACAAAATCAAGCATGCAGAAATGTACCACTAAAGCAGATTTATCTTTGCAGAGCAGCTGCAGTAAAGCCGAAGTATTATAATGAAGATTTCAGTCCTCTCTGGCAAACACAGCAGCTTTACTTGTATAGGACAGTGGTAGCAATAAAGGAAAAAGACAGAAAATAGAAAGCAGGTGGGTATCAATAATATTGCCTGGGTGACATTAAATAGGCAAATGATAAATAATAAAACTTTATACAGAATATTCTCAGTTTGAAACTAGAGATGGTCAAAAACCACAGAGAATAAATGAAGACACTTCCTTAGCCTGACAAAGGGTATTTAAACCTGAAAGCTTGCTAAGAAAAATTTTCCAACTATTTGAGTTGGTTTAATAAAAGATACCAGATTTACCCAAAGAAGCTTGTCTGCCATAGAGAGTAACAATATTCTTTGTGACTCTGATGTCTTTACTGGAGTTCCAAACTAAGCAGTAGCAAGTATTTTGTGGTCCCTGGCAGATGTTACTGTTAACACATAATTAACCAGTTACTCATGTCTTAAGTGGAACCCAACCACATGTTAATGCAATTAATGGTGCAATAAAAGAAGGAATAAGCCACAAATTTATTGCACACATTTTGTGCAATAGTTTTGCAGCTAATTCCCATTGTAGCAGAAACTGAACTAATGTAGCTGATGTTAACACAGAGTGTAATAATTGTGAAATGTAACCGTGTTAGTCTTGTCCTGTAAGCAACTTGAAAACTCTGTTTTGTATCCTTCTGCTTGGCATAAGTGAATGAACCCTGCATAGCCTTTATGTACGAATGTGTGTAAAAGGTGAATGGTGAGAGAAAGGCATAGAGACGGGAGAAGAAGATTTAACTGTTTATGTAAGCAACAGGATGCCAAATGTAAGTTACCAGTCAGTAAACTAATTTAAGGACGGCTGAAGAATCCCTTTGAGGCCAAGACAGAACAGGAGATAACAAGGAGGAGAGAGGCACACATCCTGCCAGATGGGCAGCAAGGACACTCCAGGGCTGAGATAAGAAGAGGATGAATGAGAAATGACTGCAACAACAGAAGCTGGGTATGGAAAAACCCCAAAGCACTGAAACAAAGGATGCCAATCCCTATAAAAGAAGACTTTGAAAATGCCAAGTTGGGTGAGTCTCTCTCTCTACTGCTGTTTTGTTGGAGCACAGATGCGTCTGTTCACACCGTTCCGAGCTGCTGGCTCCAAGCTGCTATCACCAAGATCTTTCTCCAGCTGCTATCTTCTAACATCATCATCTACTTAATAAGTCAGGGTTGGCCACCCCGTGCTGATATTGAGCAACTATTGCTGGTAATTATATCTAATGTATGTGCATGAATGGAATGGTTGTTTTGTATATGGGTGTGTTTGTATGAATGTCATGTCCAAACCTCTAATTCATGCAATCAATAAACATGGCATTTTGCCTTATCACCCTTTATAAGGTCTCGCTCATGATTTGAGCAGTTGGCAATTTATGTAACACCATCAGACCAGTGCAATCCCAGGGCTGGGAGTACCAAGAGTGCCAGTCTGCTGATTGTCAATCTCCATCTTGAAGGGCTGCCATGAATTCCCAGTTTTGGAACCACCAGTCAGCTGCTTGATGCTCCCAGTTCTTGGAGCATGCTGGAGCCTTGAAGGCATCTGGTGCATTCCAAGAGTTGGAAGGAAGTCCTGAAGGGCACAGGTGGAGCCCTTCAAGATTCCAGTGGGCTCCCAAGGTTGGGAGCACTGATCAGCTGACTGGTGCTCCTGGTAATAGGTATATTTTCTGGGGCAGGAGGAGCCCAGGATCCAGCAATAAGACATGAAACTCACCAGCCCCTGACAGACATTTGCTTAAAGGTGCAATTTGGATCTGATCCCCAATACCACAATTGCAACTCCTTCCATGAGAGTCTGGCAAGACATGAGGAGCAATTGTTGGGATCAGGGATCATATCCCATTGTGCCATTAAATGAATGTCCATCAGTGGCCTTTGAGCTTCAACTCCTTTATGCATTCTGAATAGTTGGAAATCTCAGAGCAAATTGATGACTGTTTTTTAGTAATTCCAGAAAAATGTTGATTGACATGGAAAACACGTAGAGTGTAATGAGCTTTTATAAGTCCTGAATAAAGGCAGCAGGGGGACACTTTAATTGTGCACTGATCAGAGGTGGACACAAAGTATTCCATCAAATCAGGTTTCAATTATTTCTTAAGCCTGTCAAAAGGAAGGTCACGTTGGATTAGTATTTTGCATTTTTGTCAAAATGTATCATAAGACATTTTGACAATATATTAAAATATTTAATGCCTTCTACAAAACTGATCATGTCAGTAGTGTTGATCAGATCCTATTTTGAACTATAACTCTGTAAAGATAAGTGGTGCAGAAATAAAATGAAAATGTAACTATGAAAATCATAATTAAAAAAAACCCCCAAGTCTTAAAACAGATCTGGGGCTCTGTGGATGACTGAGTTTAGTCCCTTGCTATGACAGACCACTGGATCATTCAGTAATTTACCATCCTTCATCTTGAAACTAGTTATATTACTTGCTCTCACTATTCCAACTGAAAGCTGTTCCAACCTTCATTGTCCAGTAGCTAGAAATATTCTAATTTCCAGGCAAAAATTTATTCATGGCCAGTTTCTAGTAATTTGTTCTTGTGTCATCATTTTTCCCCTCTACTATTCTCTCTCCTGGATTTTAGGATGGCCACCGTTGGTTTCAGGTTGTTTCACTGTTAAAAGAGCTGAACAAATTCTCTCTTGTTAGTATTTGTATTACAAATTAAATCTTATTTTACCTTCCCATGTATAGGTGATACTTTTGTATTTGTGGAATGACAGTTGGCACTGTCCAGATTCCATTATTTGTACCCATGGTGGAATAGAATCACCCCCATCTCTACACCTACTGAAAGCACAATGGTGGTGGTCCCTCATCTTTTACCCAGTTGCTTAGGCAGCTTGCCCGGAGAGCAAAAGACTCCAGAGTAAGTTTAAACCTGCATCTTGTACATCTTATTAAAGTTCTCTAACTACCAAAGCATGAGCAAGACAAGGATCGAAGTGCTTTCAAGCCCTGCTCTTGAAGCTGGCATTGCACCTTATATTTACTGTTAGGGTAGTCTGTCATATTATATGCTTTAAAGTTGCACCTGTTTATAAAGTGGTGAATTATAGTATTGTTTAAAGTTTTATTTTATATTCAGTCTAATGTTCTGTATAGGCTCATTGTTATCTGAACTTTTCATTTTGCTGGTGTTTGCAATACCAGCTGGCCTTGTTTCTTGCAAGCAGCTTACGGCCTTGAGTTTGCTCGCATGATATTTCTTTCCCTTTTCTATCACTGAGAAATTTTTCTAACACAACATAGTAATAGTTTTATTACTAGTTCAAATTAACTGAACTTGGCACTAACCAGCTGAATCAGAGGGATGAAATGATTGGATATGTTAATGAAAGGTGATAAAGGAGTCCAATGGACAATGCTTAAAGTAAGACACTGGAAAAAGGTCAAATTAAGAGGTGTGCTTGTGATTGGTTGAACAAAGGAATATTCTGAGAGGATAAATTATGGGCAATATCCTGACTGCAGAGAGACCAATCTGAAAGCAAGGAGTCATCAAAGGAGTCAAGTTAAAGAAAAGCATAAAAGGGGGAGTGAGAAAATCATCGTCATCATCATGATTTTCATCATGAATCCAGCTTTCAACACCTGCCTGGATCAGCCCAGCCAACAACATACCCTTTGCTTCAGGAACTGAACGGCCATCTTTTCTGTGAAGCAAAGTAACATCTGGGATTGGGTGAGATCATTGTATTAAGTGATTTTCTGTCTCTGAATATAGAAACTGCTAAGATAATACTTGTTGTACTAATAAAGTTAGACTCTGATTTTAGGACACTTGAGTTGTCTGTGTTCATATTTCACGTTCCATTTAAGGGTTCATTGTGTTTTAACAATTCCTAAGCACTATCTGCTGGTCAGTGGTGTGAACATTTATTACTCAGTAAATAAACAGTCCTGGACTAGCCTGGGCCCTATTCATTTCCATAACTTTGAGCCCCTCCATTCTGGACTAGCATCCATCTCACTGAGTAACACTGCCTCGTCATGCTTGCTTTTTCCTGCTCCCATGTTCTTTTCCTGGCTGCCAATGAGCCAGCTTTAAGAGGACATCTGGAGAGGAGACCTGTTAATGCTGAATCCATGACCTATTGATTAGATCAATGGCTCTCAACCTTTTTCACACTGGGATCCATTAGCATAATTATCAGCTTGCTGCAACCCGCAACCCCCTGGCCCTGACCCACACAACCTCTCTCTCTCCCCCTCTCTCCCATCCTCTGGCTGCTGCATCCAGCCCTCTCCCTCCCTCTCTGGCTCCTGGGGCTGCTTTCAAAATGCTGCATGCTCACCACAGCCCCAGCTATGTGTGAGCTCCATGCAGGCTGTCAGCATTGCAGCCTGCATGGGAAAACTGTGCGATTCCCTGGGACCTCCCTGTAACCCTTTACTGTGTTCTTGCGACCCACTTTTGGGTCATGACCCACAGGTTGAGAAATGCTGGACTAGAGTACATTTCTGGGAAGCAGGAGGTTCAGGATTAAACCCCTTTTGGGTGAGGGGAGCCTAGAGCCTAGGGTTCCTCCTGGCCAAGTATTCTAACAACTTGGCATGTAAGCCAAAAGTTAGGAGGGTCATCCTCCTTTCGGTGACAAACACCCTTTACTCAAAACTTTTCTGTAACTAAAGCTCTAGGATTTACAAAGTATTACAGATATGTCTAGACAGTTCTTCCCCCAAGCACACATGCAGCCATCTTCAGTAGGCTGCACTATAACTGCACAGCTTGGAGGAATCCAAACTATGCAGAAGTGCCAAAAATTATTGTTATGGAGCTATGTTAAGTACCACTTAGGCATGTGGAGTTAAAATAGGATTCAGCACTGCATACCTATTGCAGATGCTTTAATGGAACAGCCCTATAAAATACATTAGGAAATAACAGCATGCGATTTTCAAAGACATGCATAAAAGAATAGGGAAAGTAATTGCAGTTTTAGAATTCTCTGGGATGATTCTAAAATGTATAAAGAAAAAGCCTACTCTCTAATGAATGTATGGGCCAGATTCAGTAAACCACTCCCTGTGCTTTATGCTGCTCTAGGGACACAAGGTAGCCAGAAATGTAAGGTTCTAGTTAAGGTAGATTTACACTGTCTTTGTATTACTGGATGCTCAATTCTACATGGGTTTACATGTGTTTTCCAGAGGCACAACAAATACAAAACATTTTCTAATCTTGAAGATAATTTTCAAATATTTTATTGCTAATGTGGGGTAGCTAAAGGATATACACAGGGGCAGATCCATGAAGGAGGTCATGGTGGTATGGTTACACTCCCTTTGATTGCCTTGTCCAGTCCTGCCAATCATAGATGTATAAGGCCCAAAATTACTAGAGCTGGACTGCCTCCCCCCTTTAGAGCCAGGTGGGAAACTCATGGCACCTGACATGTCCTGGCCCTGGAGGCCAAGAGCCCAATCCTGATGGGATGCACTCCCCCCTCCCCCTCGCCCCCAGCTTTCAAAACCCAAGATCCACTGTTGGATGTAGAGTTGAGTTAAAGAAGCATTTTTTAATTAGCAGTCTATAACCCCCCCTTTATTGTTTATTTTATTCTTTATTCTCAATTTCAATACCTTCCTTGTTCACTGTTTTCATAGATAAATTAAAACCAGTTAGACTCCTTCCATTGACTTTAAGAAAAGCATTAGCGTTTTCTTTAGCTGATAAAGTTTGTAATGGAAATACTGTAATATAGCATCTTCAATTAGGTGCACAAGAAGCACAAAAAGTGGATGTACCTTTATAATCAATCTGAAATTGATGCTGCTTTTTGGTCACCATAAGTTATCCAGTCACAGAAGAAAAAAGAAAACCATGTGATAAATGTAACTCATCAGTGTTGTTAGACTCTGTGTGGTAAACAATCTGTAGACTGAGATTTATTTCCTGCAAAAGTTTGTAAGTAGCTGAATTTTAGAAGTTCACAATTTTTGCACGCAATTTACAGACAGAGGGGAGGTAAAATTCTATGAGTAAATTATTTGTTAAGTTGTAGGTGATAGTATAGAGAAAATGAACATTTTTTTCATAAAATTGGCAAGCTGTGCAAGCAGTCCATCAGATACTTCTCCTAAAAATAATGTTTATTATGTATATAAGGATTTATACATTCAACTATGGTATAAGCTTTGTAGTACAGAGTCTTATTCTCATTCTATGGATTAGTTGCATCTGTAGGCCTTGCTGAAGTTTGGATTAATACCACAATAATAACACAATCATTAATAATAATAATCACAATGGATTAATACCACAGTCATATACAAATCACACAGAGACCCAGCTGACCAAAGTAGACTTTACTGGGTGCATCTACATGAGATGCCCATTGTGCAGTTGTTAGTGCACAGTCATTTAGTACTTGCATAAACAAATACTAAATGACTGTGCAGTAACTGGTGTTACTGCACATTAGTGCACCAGCACAATGACCCTACTGTGTAATGCTTACTGTGCATTAGTACTTTATTACTGTGGTTTAGCTCTTTACTACTACACATAGGAGGAAAAGCCCCTCATTTTGGATTCAGCTACAAACATGTATTGTTTTTTAAAGATAACTTCTTATCCAAGTATCTTAATTCTTGCACTGCTTTCTCAGCGTTCATAATAAAGCATATATCTGAGTACCTAACAGTATGTTAACATTACAGCATACTACTGCTAGCTTACATGAACATGGATACTGGTTAGTCATTTTTGCCTCCATAGGTTCCATTGCAAAGCCACATGCACACACATACACGTACATGTGTGCATACATAAAGCCATACTCTATGATACCATGTGTACACTAACACTGCAGATACACTTGTCTGGTGCTGTGGCTGTATCCCAGGCTCCTTAATACCAGAGCATCTCTGGGAATTGGTTTCTTACATATGGGACAAGGTTGTGTCTAACTTATTTCCTTATATTGAAATACATTTTCAGTCACTTGCAGTAGTGGGGAAGAGTGAATGGAACAGGTTACCAGAGAAATGTGGACATTGTGACTTTTACCCCCAGGCAAATATGAACTCAACCCAATCCACACAATATCTTTGAGAACAATATCTTTACCAGTCATAATCCCCAGATCCCTTTTCTGTTATGATAAAGTCTTTTCTAGGAGATAGCTGTGTATCGGTTTCCCTGTGGGTTATCCCTGACTTGGTCATTTAAAAATTTACCTAGAGCAATATGAGTCCAAGTGTGCAAACTGCTCCATCTCCACAGGTTGTTCCTGGGACCCTACTCATTACTTTACCATGGTCTCCCTTGGTACTTTCACTGGGGGGTCCTTATCTCCATTCCTCTGATCTAAAGATCAGCCTTGTTTCTTGGAGTCTCTGAGAAAATTGAGTATTTGGGGAGTTTCTTTCAAAATCATGACCTATCCTATTCTTGCACTACAGGTTAACCAGAACTTTGGTATGGTCCTTTGACCAGCTACGATCATGCTGGGTGGTAGATACCTTTCTACTGAACAAAGATGAGCTAACCTATGAAGAACCTGGAGTAGGCCTCATGAATAGAGACCTACCCATATCAAGGAGACAGGCAGCCAATTGTGTGGGTAGATAACAGGGCCAGTTACCATGTTCATGGGCTTATTGCAGCCCCTGACCCCATGCCTCTGATTGTCCAAGGGGCCTCAGTGGCGTCTGCCCTTTTCCGCTGATTGGCTGAGAGGGCTGTCTGTCATACAGCCCTGCCCATCACCGCTGATCGGTGGAGATAAGCAGAACCATGTGATAGGCAGCCCTCTCAGGCAATCAGTGGTGAGGGGTGGGAGCAGCAGATATCTTGGCTGGTCCCCTTCATGCCATCAGCCTTGTCACCCACAGTAGGATGCACAGTCAGGCAACAGTGGCCATGAGGACCACTGGCTTCCACTGCAGAGCCAGTATTTTATTTTTAGTAAGGATTTTTTCCTCCACAGATTTTGTGGAAAAAACCCAATTTCTTGATTTCTGCAAAATTATGAGTTGAGTAGGTCCATAGTTATGAAAGGAATGGCTAAATGCCAAGTATGTATATACATTAAGACAGAATTTCAGGTACAAAAAAGTCAAGAGAGAAGCAAGCAGAAACAAAGGGGCAAAACAAAGAGGTACTGGGAATCATGGGAATAGCAGGGGAGGACTATATTATCATGAGCCCAGATACCTGTGTTTTTTTTCTTGTTTACTACTACAAAAAAAGTGGTTATGAACACAGTTCATAGTTTAGCATGCATTTTGCCTACCATCCTCAGACAAGTATTCTGGCATGGATTCATT